AATTTTTATCAGCCTCATACGGGTTATAATAGTGCTGTTAGGATTTTAGATTTCTTTTTATGTTTTTTCTTTTTTGCAATTAGTGTTTCTTTTTCTTTTCTGTTTTTTCTTTTTTTCTGATCATTTTCATAATTCTCTGTTAAAAATTTCTCCCTTTTGTCTTGTGCCCCTTGAGAAGAAGGAAGAATTAGAAGGGAAAAAAGAGATCCTGACATAGTATACAACATCCAGTCAAATGATCAAGGGGGGTATCCTTTGTCGATACAAAATCTGAAGCGAGTTTTGGATTCTCTTGTGAGGCTAATAATTGTTTTAGCAAGTCGCATTGGGCAGTACCTAGTACGCTTGGTGAGTTTCTATTAGAATAGAGTACCAGACTATTTTGGCAGTTACTTATGTAATAATCATATAGTAGTTCTTAAAATAAATAGAAGCAGGATTGCTTAAATATATAAAAAAAAAAGAATATGACACAGATCACATATAAGCAAGACACAAATAGAAATTTTCAGGTTATAGGTAAAGCTATAAAGATTTTTAAACAAATATAGATTAAAGTAATAGAATGATATCAAGTATTTTTGATTATTAAATTAGTAAATATCAAATTTTTTTTGGCAAACTTTACCTTGTATAAATATAGCATTTACTATACTAAGCCTTATTAATTAGAATATAGAACAAATCATAGTATTTAATAAAAATGAGGTTATTTTAAGCTTTTTTATTTTAATTTTGCTTGTTTCAAAATCTTAAACTAATAAACAAATCATATTACAATAATCCTACAAAATTTAATCTTGATTTGCTAATTTTAACTTTGCCTTAATAACAGAATAATCTTTATATTTGCAGATTTAATAAAATTAATTTAAATAAAACAATTTGAAAAATACTCAAGCTAAACAAAATTAGCGTAAATAAAATAATTTTAAAAGGTGTTAGGGGGCTGACAAATATTAGCTCATTATACCCCCTGAGATTTTTACTTAGTCCCATCAAGAGTTAGTCATTTGACACAGTAAAATTTACAAAAAATGCATAATTAGATTTTTAACAGTTGGCAACACAAACTGTCAAAAATCTAATTATACATTTTTTGTAAATTTTACTGTGTCAAATGATTGACTCTTGATGAGACTAAGTAAAAATCCCAGGGGGGTATAATAAACTAATATTTGTCAGCCCCCTTATAGTAAATATAAATCTTTATTCTTTATAAACTAGATTTAATTTTATTTTTATTAACTAAAAGTTTTTATATTCACAAACAGAATTCTATAGTATTCGTTTTAGCTTTAAAGAGTTAGAAGGCTTATTACAAGGGGCTATAATAGTTGTAACAAGATTTGCATTGTACAGGATGCAGTTGTAGTGAACAAAGTACAGAGTAAAGAAAGTTTGAAAAAAGAGGATAATAGTGATATAAATGTGAATATAAAATATTGATTAATTGTTTTGAGTTAATAGAAATAATTAAATAATATTATATATATGCAAAGTAATGTAACAGTACAATATTAAATATAATATATTGAAAAGGTACAGTAAAGCAAAGAAAAAGAAATATTTGAGATAGTGTTAGAAAGAAAGCAAAGAGAAGTAGAAAGAGAAAGTGAATATATATTAAATTTAATCAATGGTAATTGAGTTAAATAGTAGTTAAAAAATAGGTATAATTTTTTTTTTTTTTTGGTATTAAGATAATCTCATTGGCCTGGGGACTTTTTATTAGAATATAGACGATGTTTTATAGTGTAATTACAACAATAGTACATCAAGCCACACGTGTAGTCCACCCAAAACATTAGTGCTATACTAAGGGTTCTACACTATCTGCTATACCTGTACCTCAACTACAGAGGTACCCATTTAAACTATCTGGTTCTAACTACCATCATTAGCTCTCTAACTCATAGGTATTATTCACCATTCATATATGGATTTTGCTTCTATCCACATTGGATTTTGCACCCTATTTTAGGACTTACTAACTTAAGCTAGTCTATTCTTGAGGTAAATCTAACAGAGCGATACATGTCCCACACATGTATTCACCTGCATGTTCCTATAACTTCTTCCTAATTAGTATATATTGATCTGCCGTTCTATATGTATATCTCACACCACCTTTTGGGGTGCTGCCATTCTACAGACGTTTTTTAAGCACCAACCTTCCTAATCAGGCTCCTATTATATACTCCTTGCCCTTATTTGGTTCACAACAACCTGATACCCGCATTTGAACCGTCATCTTATATAGATTCTTTATTGGTCCCTCCTTTACTTCCAGCTGGCAACCTGAAAGGGTTAGTTTGCTCAGGTTTTAGGTGTCTGAAGGATACCCTCCTCTTGGTTCATACTTTTGGAGCGTATACTCTTTTTTTCTGGTGTGACAACCCGGCAGTTCGGCTGGTGTATCCTTTGCTAGTGGACCTAGTCGCTCGGTTTTCCAATCTCGGGCCCCGGTTCGAATTCAGCCCTCCTGTAGTACTATCAAAGATCACTGCTACTTTCAAATTCAGGACTTGCCAAATGGGTTTTCGGTTATGCTGGTTCCTTGGATTTATTGCGCCAAAGCTCCCATTACTAGATAGTGTAATCAAAGTTACAGATTAGAGTTGAGGCACAGATTTATGTTGACTTGTATTTATTCCATGTACAAGGTTAAGTTTATATTAGGTTAGAACCCGACAATGCATAAGAGTTTATATGGTAATTGTTTAGAATGTTTAGTAACAATAATATTCATCATGTTGAACTATTTATAATGAAATTAATAAAAGAATGCATATACGTTTAACTTGTATATTTCAATATAATCATAATAAAGAGCACAATTGCTCATTAGCTCTATTGATTAATTGGTCTTTATTGTAACTAATATTCAAACTAGTTAAGCTGTTTTGCATCTCTATGCAAGATACATGTATTGCAATTGCTCTTTATACTATATGCGAATATCATTAAGTAACTCCCTATACGTTCGCAAACCTTTGGCCTGTGAACTTCTATTTTCACTAATCAGATCCTAGCAAAAGGACTTTGCTAGAAAACAAGTTATGCATCATATAAACTGTATTGTATTTTATTAACATATTACAATTGCACTTTATACTATATATGAGCATAATCAAGTAACTCCCTATACGTTCGCAGACCTTTGGCCTGCGAACTTCTATTTTCACTAATCAGATCCCAGCAAAGGGACTTTGCTAGAAGACGAATTATGCATCATATAAACTGTATTGTACTTTATTAACACATAATGTGATAATTTTAATTGTGAATACATGCCAAAAGTAGGAAAAGGTGAGAAAGCTAATAATTATCTAATTCTAACCTAAATAATATTTGTGTAATGATCACTATAACAATAAAATTCATTAACCCACACAAAACCCACTATTAGCAGCAATGAATCACACCAAAGAAACCACCAATGAAGTCACTAAGTGCTATTTAAAAGGTTAGTTGATATATATAGCTAAAGCAGTGGAAAAGAACAACCAAAAACCACTACCAGCAATAACAAATCACACTACTACAAAGCTATTAACAATAACAAATCACAAAGCCACTGGCAACATTTTTAGCAATATCAAAAAAAAGGAAGGAGTTAGTTAACATATATACAAGTTAGAACAATGGAAAAAAAACAATCAACAGCAAAAACCCTACTAGCGGAGTGAAAAATTCAATGTGTGCATGTGTGAATCGCATATGAAATTTTCTTATTTTAATATGAAGAAATCATGTGATTATATAAGTGCGCACATACTTCTCAAGCTGAATTTTTTATTCTGCCTACCAGCAAGGACAATTGGCACCACCACAAAGTCACCAACAACATTTTTAAGGCTCTTGAAAAAGAAAAGATTAGTTGACATATACATAGCTAGACCAATGAAAAAAAGAAAACACAACAACAAAAACTCTACAATTCGCACTACTATGAAGCTACTACAACTTTCTTAAACACTACTTGAAAAAAGGAAGGAGTTAATTGCATATACATAAGCTAGAACAATGGAAAAAGAATAACCAACAACAAAAACCCTACAAATTGCACTACCATGAAGCCACCACAATGTTCTTAAGTGCTACTTAAAAAAAGAAAGAGATTAGTTGCATGTATATAAACTAGAGCAACAGAAAAAAGAACAACTAATAATATAAACTCTACTAGCAAGAACGATCTGTACCACCACGAAGCCACCAACAACATTCTTAGATGCTACTTGAAAGGAAAAATCAACGACTAAATCCCCACTAATGACGAGAAACTCATTATTGACAGGATTACAGTGATGTTGACAAATGACGAATTCCTTAGCTATTAGAGAAAAAAGCATATTACAGTATTAATGTTTAGCATATTTGATATGTATACGTAAAATGAGAAAAAAAAATTGATTATCGTTGATCTACATATCTATATACTGTATTTAGGAGAATGACAGTTAATAAAATCATTCTGGATAATTTTAAAAATATTTCTTTATCTATTTATTATTTTGTTATTAAGTAATAATAAAAAAAAGTGTATTAATTTTATTTATTATTTATTATCTTATTTTTAATTTAATAATAAATAAATAATAAATGAGGTGTGGCGATTTAGTGTAGTAGTCTAGTCATCACCTTTTCCAAGTGGCAGATCTAGAGTTCAAATTTCACTGGTGACAATTTTGAAAAATAGACCTGTGTATAGTTGATGGCTTTTATCAGTTGAATCTGTAACCTTGGTTACACCATCTTGTAATAGAAGCTTCGGCGCAATAAATTCAGAGGACCAGAATAGCTGAAAACCTGTTTGGCAAGTCCTAAGTTTGAAGGTAGTAGCGATCTATGATGATATCACAGAAGGGCTGAATTCGAACCAGGGTCTGAGATTAAAGAACAAAGCGACCAGATTTTAATGGCGGAGGACATACCAGCCGAACCACCAGGTTGTCGCGCTGGAGAAAAAGGATATACACTTTGAAAGTATGGACCAAGAGGAGGGCATCCTTTAGGCATCTAAAGCCTGGGCAAATCAACTCTTCCGGGTTGCTGGCTGGAAGTAAGGGAGGAACCAATAAGAATCTGAGTAAGAAGACGGTCTAAATGCGGAGTACTGGGGTTGTTAGAGACCAAAACAAGAGCAAAGAATACATAATAGGCACCTGGTTAGAAAGGTTGGTGCTTGAGAAACGTCTGTAGAACGGCAGCACCCCAAAAGGTGGTGTGAGATATGAATACGGAA